ATCTATATATATATATATATATATATATATATATACAGTATATATATTTATATATATATATATATATAAAATCCTGAAAAAAATGCATCATGTTTGCACAAAAATATTAAGCAGCACAACCGTTTTCAATACTGATAATAATAAGAAATGATTCTTAAGCACTAAATCAGCATATTAGAATAATTTCTGAAGGATCATGTGACAAGACTGGAGTAATGGCTGCTGAGAATTCAGCTTTGTCATTAGAGGAATAAATTACATTTAAAATATATTCAAATAGAAAACTTATTTTAAATTGTAATAATATATCACAATATTACTTTATTTTTGAACTCAAGAAAAAAAAATTGTTGGTACAGTACAGTAGCTTGGTACAGTAGCTTTTGGAATTTACATAAGGACGAAAACATAGCCTTTATTTTGCCAATTTCTTTTGATGCTAATAGTAACACAGAAATTACAGAGTTTACATTTAGACTGTCCAAAATACATCTCATAATAATGCATAGAATTCGATATTGATATAATATTCCAGTAACAGCCACCACTCTGGAATCTCAAGGAAGCAGCACTACTTTTGGATCTGCTCCTAAAACAACCCACCTTTAATACGGTCTTAGGCCGCTTCTTGTAATGCACTTTGGGTTTCTCCACAACAGGAAGCACTGGCAGTTTCTTCAGTTCCTGCAGGATGGAGAGGGCCGCTCTCTTTTTAGAGAGTTTCTTACTATTCCCCTCACCCTCGGCTGAGAACTCCCCCACCGTCACACGTGTGAGGAAACTCTTCATGTGCGGGGGTCCACTTTCCTTCAGCACCTGAGGGGCATGTAATGAACACGTTACACAAGAGAACACACATGCATGCAGAAGTGGGAACAGCAGTCATTCCAGTCACGCTCCCTTTCTCTCTGCCTCTTAGGCCATGTCTGCTGCACACTCTCTTCCTTCTGCCCTTTACCTTCTTCTTTCTCGATGACGGAAATGGGAATACTGCTAATTAGACTCACTACACTCGAACTGTCCGGTTTAACAACCGGATCAATAACTCGTATGGGGAGAGAGACCACTGGAACTTGGGAAACTGCACCTGGTTATTAAACACATCACACACACTCAGTATGTATATATGAATACAAATATACATTAATATGCATATGCATAAATGAGAAGCACAGATCACACATATTAATGCAGTGTTTTAAGCTTGTTTTGAATAGCTGCTTTTCTTTGTGCAAGACAAAAACATTTTATTTTATTTCATATTAAAATAGTGTTATTGATCTTAATTTAGTAACACTTTAAGTTTAGGGACTAATTCTCACTATTAACTAGTTGCTTATTAGCATTGTTACCAACATTCTTAAAAATAATTAGAAGAACCCCAAAAAAAGATTTTTTTAGAATGTTGGTAACCAAACAGCTGACGGCACCCATAGACTTCCATAGTATTTTAAGCCCATGTAATGGAAATCAATAGGAACCAAAACTGGCTGATTACCAACATTTTTTTTTTATATTTAGAAAACATTTAGAAGGACAGGGCAATGATTAGTGCTGGGCAATGATTAATCACGATTAATCTCATCCTAAATAAAAGTGTTTGTGTACAAAATATATGTTAATGTGTGTGTACTGTGTATATTTATTATGTGTATATATAAATGCACACACATACAGTATATTTTTTGAAAATAATTCCAAGCATTTCCATGTATATATTTATATTAATATAAATGATATTATATTTAAATATTTTAAATGTATAAACATAAAATTTTCTTAAATATATATTCATGCATGTGTGTGTATTTATATATACATAATAAATATACACAGTACATACACATATTATGTAAACAAACCTTTTAATAAAAAATGACAAAACCATATAACAAAATTACTAAAACTAAAATAAAGGACTAAAATTGAAATAAAAATAAACTAAAGTTAAATAAAAATATTAAACAAACAAAGACTAATAAAAATGACCAAATAATAAAATAAAATGACTAAAATTAGAATGAACAGAAAATATAAAAATTAACTAATTCAAAATATTAATAAATACTATAGTAGTATATCAATTAAAATTAAATATATATTATTTTAGTTATTTTTTTATGGCTGAGCAATCAGAGGTGATTTTGTTCACAATCATTTAAACCGACTGTTCATCCTCTATTCTTCCTATTACTATCCATTTCTCACTGTCGTGAGAAACCGAAATTTAATGTAATGCACATGTAATCATATTTACTTCCTGTGACATCACCAAGATGGTCAACAGAACAGGTGAGCTGCTCTGAGCTCTTTAAGAGCAACACTGGGGGGATTGAGTTTCACACAGACGCACATACACAGCTGAGGGTGGGCCTCTATGTGCTCAGTCAGAACTGAAAGTTATCCGTCTCCAGAGACTCCCTCCTCACATCCTCTCTTCACACACATGACCATTCTGGCATTCATACAAACATGTGACACTCCAGAGAAACAGGCTCAGCTGAGAGACACCATATCCCCATACAAAACGAATCCGATTCAAATACAGTGTCAAACTTCAATAAGTTTCATGGCTTGCATAAATGAAGCCTGGAGGCCCATGTCATTTCAAACATGCAATACTTTATAAAGGTAGATCATCCAAATATCCACCAATGGTTGTTGTTCCAAACTTGCAAGCCATGCAACACAAGAAGAGAACTTTTCTGAATGTTCCTACAGCTTTTCTAAACAACAAAATGGATGAAGTGCTTGAAAATGGGTGAAAAATAGGTCCCACTTTATATTAGGTGGCCTTAACTACTATGTAATTACATTGAAATTACTCATTTGATACAATGCACTTATTGTGCACATACATGTTTTTTACTTATATTTTAAAAATACCTTCATGTAATTACATCTATAATTAATTACTGTAATTTATAATTACACTGTTGACCAATACCTTACACCTTAACCCACACTTAAACCACTTAAATTGAAAAAGATTAGAGAAAAACGTATTGCGCCATGGTACAACAGTAATACCCATTCAAACCTACCCATGCCATCAAACCTTACCTGTATCCCATATCAATAGCAGTAGAAGTGTTTTGAAATGCAGTATGAACACAAAAAGTACATTGTGCATATTTTTTGATGTAAGTACATAGCAGGTAAGGCCACCCAATAAAAAGTGTGACCAAAAAGAGAAAAAGTACCAAAGTGGTCCATATGGTCCATATATTATTCCAAGTCTTCTGAAGTCACATGATAACTGAACAGACAGATAAAAGGCAAAAGTCAAAATAAAAATAAATATATAGTATATATAACTGAACAGTATATATAACTGAAAATCAACAATAGAATAGAGGTGAACAGTCTGCAAAAAACAGTGACACGGAAATGTAGTTTGAAAATTGCTTTCAAAAACTATAAATATGGGCTGTTTACAGTACTTTTCTGGTGCTTTTTGATCTTGACCGTCCCAGGTCCTATTCACTGTCACCCTTACTGTTTCACAGAGGAAAGAAAATCATCCGGGTTTGAAATGACATGAGGGTGAGTAAATAATGACAGAAATGTCATTTCTGAGAGAACTCTCTCTTTAAAGCTCAAGACAGTTGATATGAATAATTGGAAGTGTAGACAAACATCATTAATCTTCATCTGTAAACTCCAGATCCTCAACAATCTGGGCTTTCATCTGAAGATGGCGAAGAACTGAGGATCACAAGAGAGCTCTGTGCATTTCCCGCACACTTGACAGAGCGGCATAACCCAATATTTACTAGGCCTTGATGTGGAATGCATTTGATCATCACACTTAGATGTTACATAAGAATTGAGAGAATTCCTCTGGGTGAGCATCACTCCATAATGAAGTGACGAAATTCTGCTATACTTCCTTCTTGGAAATATCAGCATGTCTTTTCAGCTCTCTTGCGAGGATGAGGTGTGGGGAGGAAGTAAAAGGGCTTAAAGCTGCGAGTCCGTCATTCAGGGAACTCCCACACGGTCTATTCCATGGGCCGAGAGTGGAGATTTAGCCTGGTTACTCACAGTCACTGATTATACAACTAACTCAACTCAGCTATAAAGTCGGACAAGAAATTCCCAGAGAAAGAGAGACCAAAACTCCAATGAGATGTCAACTTTTCTGCAATTCTCCTTGATGAGAAATATCTCAGACACAGAGACTCAAATAACTTGAAAAGGGAACTTTTTAATGTACATTACTGAGTACTGAGTCCCAAAATGAGGCATAAAGATATTTTGAAAAATGTGCTTTTACCCATACAATGAAAGTCAATGGGGTCCAACATTTTGGACCCCATTGACTTCATTATATGGACCAAAATTGTTGAAAAATCTTGTTGAAAGTATCTTCTTTGTGCAGAAGAAAGGAAGTCAAACAGGTTTCGAATAATACAAGGGTGTGTAAAAGAGTACAGAATGTACATTTTTGGGTGAACTATCCCTTTATATCTTATTTTGCGCTATTTTTAACGAATATGAGTAGCCGGTGAGGACAAGCTGTGGTAACTTCACCAACTACACCACCAACAAGTCAAAACGGGCCTAGTAACTCTCGAGCTGGCCTCCTGACACAGTTTCCATGGCAGCTGTAAAACACTGAGGTAGGTGGGTGGCAGTTCCAGCCGGTGAATGAGCCTCATCGGGTGAACGAGGACTGTGAGGAGGTCTTGGCACCGGGGCCCGACTCCCTTCGTGGCGGCAGACGAGGTTGTGTTGTCTACAACAAATGATATGGCATCCTCAGGCAGTGATGGGGTTTCAGCAAGTGTTTGATTCTTGTGTCTGATGGTGGCCAGTTCCTCTGTCTGCTCTCTGTCTCGCATGGCTGGCAACGGAGATCAAGTTGTAGGAAGGAATCGCTGTAACATGAGGTTGATCATTCTTCATCCCCTCCATGGATGCGAGGGGAGAAATGGTATTAGTGAGACCGCCGTGTCCTCAGCCTGGTGAAAAGGCAGGATACCAGGCCAGGGTGGGACAATGGCAAGGACTGATATAATGAAGAAAAGCTCTTTTGTATGGACTGTTGATGTGTATTCCCTGAGGGAAGGTACTTATGTACAAGATGGGTGGTTCTTGGCACAGGTTTCCACTCTTGTATCTCTGTAAGGCGTCATCCACGACAAGAAACTGTGATTAATGTATTTGTTCTTTGAAGCTGGCATCTGTTTGATATCGTTTGACACCGACAAGAAGGTGAGAGTGGTCCTTGATTTCATAAGGGGACAGGTGAGACACTGTTCTGGTTGACCTAAAGGGATAGTTCACCCAAAACTAAAGCTTCTGTCATCATTTACTCACCCTAATGCCATTCCAAACCTGATATTGTTTCTTCAGTGGAACACAAAAGAAGATATTTTCAAGAAAGTTTCAACTGTTCCTTTTAGAGCAGCACAACAAAACTGAAACTGTGATATATCTTACTGCGATTACAGAACCACAAAGACAGCAATTTAATTTAATAAACATGGGCACTGCATGTTTCAGAGCAAAGCACCGCACTGTGTTTATTTACACGCAAGCTGCTCATGATCCAGTGTTTTTAGTGTCTCAGAGCAGCTCAGTTTACATTAAATGCTGCTTCACACAAACTTCTTTTTTACACAGTGAAATGAAACAGTAATATTTCTTTATAAAATTTTTATTCAGTAATAATAATCATGATTAATAATAATGATGATGATGAGGATAATGATTATTAATATTATTATAGTCTAGAGGTGTAATGGTTAAATTACTCACAGTTTGGTTTGTTTCACAGTTTTTAGGGTCACGGTTTCTGTACAGTTCGGTATGTGCTATGTTTAGGGAAAAGGACCATGCTGTCACATAAAAATGAAGAAAATAAGACCAAATAATCTAAAAACAAGCAACAGCACAAATAAATACAAAAGAGCAAAGATACAAATAAAATAAACAGTGCTTTTCAAGTTTTCTTTAGGTATAGGTCTAACATTAGTTTTTTAGGTACAGAAATTGAATCAGTATTCAAATGTAAAATAACATTGCATATTTGACTGAATAAATTAAAGATTAATCCTTATTAAAATTACAAAAACTATTAAATCAAGAGCAGTGAGTGATTTCTTTGTCTTTTGTTGTTTGATTAAAAAAAAAAGTGCTGTCACTTTAAGACAATGCACAGATCCAGTACATTGATACTGTATGTTCAACTGACTCACCAAGATGTTGACATAGTTTTTGTGTGAATTTGTCCATTCAAGCACAAGACTTGAAAGAGAACTCAATATTTGCATGCTGTCTGAGACCTGAACACAGGGTTTGTGTGCTTCGGATGAGCGCACATGCAAATCTTCTCACTGCGCATGCATTCTCATTCATGTTTTCTGGCTCTTGAATGTTTAAAATGGCAAGGCTTAAATGAGTTTAGTTTAAATACAGATAGCAACGTGTGCTGTTCAGGTCTCACCTGCGCGCACGCGCTATCAACACCTGGGTGATGACGGCATAAATGACTGGTCATATTAGAGCATACGGCACTCGCACTAAACAAAGTTTACAAAGAGTGACTGGTTTGTCCACGTTTCTTTTTTGTTCAGCGCTGTTTTTGTAATGTATTGGGAAGCCAGAATGCGTATCCATGAACAGAAACATACATTAGCCGAACTCTGTCTGTTTTACGTGTTGTTTATTTTTAACAAAACATATTACAGATGCCTTGTCAGATTTAAGTTGAACCACGGTGCAAGTGCATGCTGAACCTCGGGTGGAGAACAGTACGCTTTGATTTTTTACAGAGAACTGTTACACCCCTATAATAGTCAATATTGATATTGATACTTATACACAAGACACTTGTGTACAATCACTCAATTTTTGGCCAAATTGTGCAGCCCCTTTACAAGCACAGGAAAAATCTAATTTCTATATAAAGAAAGCCAGTAGGGTCTAAAACAACAATGGTCCTCACTGACTTTTACTGTGTGGACAAAAGGACACTGATCATTTGAATTGTTGCTCGTACAGGTATGAAATAACATTAGGGTGTGTAAATAATGACAAAATTTAAATTTTTTGGTTATTTAAAAGATTTCATTTAAGTCCCATGCACATCTTTGAACAAGAAATGGTTTCATGGTTTCTTTCTCACAGAGTAACTATTTCCGTAATATTCCACAATTGTGTGCTAACTGAATCAGGAACAAAACGTTTCCATTCCTACAAATGGCTGGGGAGAAAATTCCTGAAAAGATCTAACAAGGTTGAAACGAGTCCAGGCTCTCACAGATGACTTCCAGTCAAAACTTTAAAGAAAGAAAAAAGAAAGAGCTACAGTGTCCAAATGCAGTTAGATTGGGGTCCCCAGACGTAACAGATTGCATGCAAGTGGAGAACGCACGTCAGGAAGATTCTGGTTGACCAAAGCCAAGTAGATGATTGCAGATTGTGAAGTTGGAGACAGCCGTGGAAAATCATTTAAGATAAACACGGATGCAGTAGTAGTCAGGCTAAAGAGACCCTCAGACTTCCTCTGGTGTTTATGTAGAACGTTGAGGTTTGTGTTGATTTGAAGCGTCGCTGATACAGCACTTTAATGAAGTGCTGATTTTGAATGGTGTCCAAATCCCCCTCCTCCGCACAATAAACGCTTTAAAGCAATTGCAATTACCAGATTTAACAGATGCTGGCAGAGCTTGACCAAGAACAGGCGTTTAATATAATCACTTTCCCACTTTATCCTCTTTATTTGAAGCTAGTAATTTTCAATTTATCGAATGAACGGATATCTAAATATATTCTGCTCGATGTTGATTAAATTAGAATGAACACTTGAACGTTAGGGGGAAAACATTACAGTTAAAGAGAGACTCTTGCTCTATTCCAAAACCCATTGAAACAACTATCTAGACAGTATTCTAAGGAATCACAGGCATGCCCCCAACAAGAAGTTCCAAAAGTTTCATCATACATTTTTTTGGATGTCTACGGCAGCAACACATACATAATACACCGCAAAGGCAATCGCAGAATGCACTGTGACAAGTTTCAGTCGAACAAAAACAACTCAAGATGGAGAACGAGCCCAGAGAAATATTTTATTCATTATCAAACTGTATAGATGCAAATGTCTGTATAAAAAAGGACTATTATTTGTGTGCACTGTATTTTTATGCTTATAGTATAGCATTTAGCTTAGCAACATGCTAATATCAAAATCTACTTGAATTCATTGCAAGCCCAAACTTCTGTGTGCTTAAAATCAGAAATGCTATACGTTTGAACTTCCTGCATATATGCAATAAGAAAGCTTTTTTAGAAGTCAGCTGCCTATGTCGGCAGCTCATTTAGGAACGGTTACATTTAGCCTAATTGGTTTTGAACTAACAATAACATACTTTAACTTTAGGGTTATATTGTGCTGTCGAGCTGAGAAAAAAAGTTAAAGTGTCAAAAGCATACAACTGGTTAGGAGTACAAAGAAAATATTTAATAAGGAGGATAGGGTCACTAGAACTGTGAATAACTGTGCAATGAAAACTATTGTTGAACTAACCTTATTTATCAGTGTTACATTCCTTCACATTCTCAATTAAAGTAGCTTAGTTTACCTCAAAGTTAACAGCCAGGTTCCTTTTAAGAGCGATCTCGTAGATCAGGCTGATCTCAGATTTGCTGGCATCGCTGTTCTCCTCTGTTTCTTTCTTCTCCTCTGAACACTGAAAGAGTTCAACACAAAACAGACCTACAGTATTACAAAAAACTGTTACATTTTATCCAGCATATTGACCTTTTTGACATAAAAAGACATGCTGAAACAACATTCCCCTAACAGAGGTGTCCAAAACAATATATTACTTATTCAAAGATTCAAAATTGCGAGCTCCAAGTATGCATAGCAGCATAAATAAATGATGCATAAATTATACAGTTTTTCTGTTTAATGGCTTTATTTATTTCTGTCCAATCACGGCCGTTTTTTAAGGTTTATTGATTAAATATGTAAACTAAAAATAAAATTAAACATAAAAATAACTTTTTATATGTAAAAAATACTAAATATTTTGAATATTTTTATGTAATAATTTGTTTGACAAGAAATCTGGAGTTGCTTTGATAATAATGTACTGATTGAGCAGGGACATTTTGCATTTGTGAATAAAAATGGCTTAACGTACAATATTTTAACAATTATTATTATTAATTTTTTGCAAGAACTAACAAATTTCAATGCATAATGGTGCCTTAATTTGATTACCTCCTCTCAACAATCCCTTTATTACAGTACAAAGATTTCTGTTGCTGACTTCAAATCAGCCCCAAACCTACATTTTACCTACTAACAGAATGAAAACCTGCCAGGAAGATGTTAAACGGATAGTTCACCCAAAAATGAAAATTCTGTTATTAATTCCTCACCCTCATGTCGTTCCAAACACATAAGGCCTTCGTTCATCTTCAGAACACAAGTTAAGATATTTTTGATGAAATCCAAGAGCTTTCTGACCCTGCATAGACAGCAACATTAAAGGCAGATAAAAACTTTTTGCGCACATAAAGTATTCTCGTAGCTTCATAAAAATTATGGTTGAACCACTGATGTCACATGGACTATTTGAACAATGTCCTTACTACCTTTCTGGTCCTTGAACGTGGTAGTTGCATTGCTGTCTATGGAGGGTCAGAAAGCTCTAGGATTTCATCAAAAATATCTTAATTTGTGTTCTGAAGATGAACGAAGGTCTTACGGGTTTGGAACGACATGAGGGTGAGGAATTAAAGACAGAATTTTCCTTTTTGGGTGAACTATCCCTTTAAGAACAGGCTGTATGATCTCAAAGCTGATGGTGGGTCTGCTTCAACGCATGACTGCGGTTTCTCATGTACCTCCACTGAAAAGAGATGCTTCTGGTTTTGTTGAACAGTTGAGATTCTGAAGAAAGTGGCTTGGTTTTGTAAGAAGAAAAAGCTTTCAAACTGATCCAAGAGCAGTTCCCTTAGTTCCGATTCATATCTTATCAACTATAAAAGGAACTGCAATAGAACTCTCACACAAGTTCCAAAGGGTGACTTTTAATATGATCCCTGCAGCATATTATCTTGGTCACCTCCATTACACTACTGACATTTCTTTTCAGAATGAAGAGTGTGTTCTCATGCAGCACATGAACAGGAGTGTGTGATCTAAGAGCGCTCGATCAAGTTGTGTTTTTTTGCAGACATTCAATACAGCGTTCTCAGTGTCGTCCTTATAGCGATCACACGGCATGATGTCATTGTGCGTTTCCTTCAAACGCCTGTTAATGATGTCTGGGATGGAGAGCCGTCAGGTGGTCTGGAGAGTGTGAGACTTTGTGTGACAGACTGTGAAGGCTTGCTTGTGTGCCCTTCTTAAACTGAACTGACAGGTCACAAGCTAAATTTGATATTGTCATGTGTTGTAATGATCAAAAAGCACATAGATTTGGCTAAAATATCAGCAAACTAACTCAGTTTTGGAGTTTTGGAGGCACAAAAGAATTTTCAAAAGAAGAAGCATTTCGAGCATTCTGCTCTTCCTCAGACTGCAAATGCATCCAGACGTACCTCAAATACAGCGACCCCACACTTTCTAACTAATGATTTCCTATGACTTTTCCAGTTGTTTGAGATGACTGGAAAGGGATTTAAAAAAAAAAGAAAAATCAAGATCGCACTCACAAAAGAGTAACTACTTGCTGAAGTAGTACTTTTCTGGCTAGTAGAAAAGTAGAAAGATGTATAATGACTACAGAAATTTCCATGACTTTTATTTTTAATGTTATTTTTGCCATTATTTTTCCATGCCTTTCAACATTTTCTAGCATTGTTTGAACCTGGAAAACAGCCGTTGTCCCATGATTTATACAGTGTCAGGATAACAGTATAATACAAATTCAATTAAATTCAATTCAAGTTTATTTGTATAGAGCTTTACACGATACAAATCGTTGCAAAGCAACTTTACAGAAAATTACGTTTCTCCAATA